TACCTCAACAAGTGAAGGAGGTGGAAGATTTCTTCCAGAGAAAGTATTTCCATGAAAAGTTTTAAGTAGCAATATGCGAAAAACAGGGTGAATCTTAATACTGTCAGGAAGTTTTAAGCAAAAAGTTACTGGTTGATCTGAGCAGAAATCTGGAAAGGTCCCACAAACTTTTGTCCAACTTTGCTGATGGAACATGAACCTTCAGATTTTTGGTTGATAGCCAAACCTTGTTGCCCACATGAAAGGTAGGAAGTGATCTGCTATGTCTGTTGGCAGCCTTTTTATAACATTTCTGAGCCTCCCCCAAAGTCTTGATCAGCGTCACCTGACTCTCCTGCAATGTAGTTAATCTGTTGGTAACAGCAGGAATTTGAGTTGCGATAGGGAGATCAGGAATAAAAACTGGATGATACCCAGTATTGAGGGAAAAAAGGGCTTTGAGAGGTAAAGCTATGTTTAGAATTGTTATAGGCAATCTTTGCTGTAGGAAGATAATCCACCCAGTCATCCTGAAGATAACTGACAAAACACTGAAGGTATTGCTTCAAAGTTTGATTGGTCCTCTCAGTCTGACCATTAGACTAAGGATGAAAAGCAGAGGACAAGTTATTTGTTACACCTAAAGCTGAACAAAAGCTTTTCCAAAATTTTGAAGTAAACTGTACTCCTCTGTCAGATACCATATCATCAGAAATTCCATGTAGTTTAAAAACATCTAGAACCATCAACTCTGCAGTTTGTTCTGCAGAAGGTATCCTCTTAACGGTATAAAATGAGCCATCTTAGTAAGATGGTCAACGACTACCAAGATGGTGGTCATTTCTTTTGAGGGAGGTAAATTAAACACAAAGTCTGTAGACATTGTCCCTCCCAAGGTCTTAATGGAACAGGGAGTGGCTGGAGCAACCCCTAAGGAGAAGCTCGGGGTGTCTTATGGCATGCACACGTCAGACAGGAGTTCACATAGCATTTGAAATCTCTCTTATAACCAGGCCACCAGAAGGAACGTGACAAAAGTTCTTCTGTCTTAAAAACCCCAAAATGCCCCGCACGTTTAGAGTCATGAAATAATTTGAGGACTTCAACCCGAGCAGATTCAGGTACACAGAGACAATATGCTTGAGTTCAAAAGCCGTTCTTGTATTCAAGGTTAATGTCCTTAGGAGGATGATTAAGTGGGTCACTCTCATACCCCTCTTTGAGAAGACTCAAGAAAGTCTTTGGTACATGTGGCACTTTAGGAAGTTCTTTTGAGTTAGGATTGTACAGAGTCACCTTCCTGGGGAGGCTCAGACAACATCCTTGATAAGGCATCGGCCTTACCATTTCTCGATACAGGTCGATACGAGATAATAAAATTGAACCTGGAAAAGAAAAAAGACCAATTCGCTTGTCTAGAAGACAATCTCCTGGCAGAGCGAAAGAATGCCAAATTTGTATGATCAGTGAGAACCGTTACAGAATGATTAGCCCCTTCCAGCAGATGCCTCCATTCAGAAAAGGCTTCCTTAACTGCCAGTAACTCTTTATTCCTAATGTCATAATTCCTCCGGCTGAAGACGTCAAACGAGAGAAGTAAGCACAAGGATGAAGCTGCATCTTTTCTCCACTTCGATGAGACAGGATAGCTTCCACGGCAGAGTCAGAAGCATCCACTTCCATTATAAAGGGTAGTTCAGGATCGGAATGTACCAAAATTGGTGCAGAAGTGAAGAGTTTTTAGCTTTTCAAAAACAGCCTGTGCCTTGGGGGCCACATGAAGGGTAGCCCTTTCTTTGTTAGCTGTGTAATTGGAGCTATCACCTTAGGAAAGTTTCTTATGAATTTTCTTTAGGAGTTGGCAAACCTGACAAAACGTTGAATTTCCTTAACATTTCCAGGGGCTGGCCAATCTTACCATTGCTTTGATCTTGTCAGGATCCATGCTCCCTCCTTCTGGAGAAATAATATATCACCAGAACTGGATCTGAGTTTGTTCAAACTCGCATTTATCCAATTTAATGTAAAGTCTGTTCTTCCTTAATCTTTCAAAGACGGTGCAAACATGTTTGCGGTGCTCCTCCAGATTATCAGAAGAGATGAAAATATCATCCAGATAAGCAACCACAAATTGGCCCAACAGATGATGAAAAACATTGTGGATGAAGTGTTGAAAAGTTGCAGGGGTGTTGCAAAGTCCAGGCATAACCAAGGACTCGAAATGCCCATACCAGGTTCTGAAGGCAGTTTTCCATTTTTCTCCGAATGCGGACAAGGTTATATGCCCCTTGTAAGTCAAGTTTTGTAAAGATTTTGGCAGAACAGAGTCTGTCCAACATTTCGGAGATCAAGGGGAGTGGATAACTTTTTTTATTAGTGATTTTATTCATGTCCCTGTAGTTAATGCATGGATGCAAGGTGGAGTCTGTCTTTTCAATGAAGAACGGCTGCTCCTTGCAGGAATTGTCGAGTGTTTAATAATCCCTTTTCTAAATTCTAATCGAGCCATTCCCTGAGCCCCTTTAATTCAGGTTCTGACAGATTGAAAAGGTGGCCAAAAGGTATTTCTGCATCTGTGAGTAGCTCAATGGAACTATCATATGGGCGGTGAGGAGGGTAATCAGCATTTTTCTTATCACAGTCATCCCGAAAATGGTATTGTGGAGGCAAGTTGTCATATGACTGGATAGTTAGCACATACACTTGCGATTCCTTGGCCGATGAGGAACTTGTTCGACAACGTTCCATACAGTATTTCTTGCAATAGGGGGACGTAAAATCTATAGTCCGTGCTCCCCAGTTGATGGAGGGATTGTGAGTGGAGAACTAAGGAATGCCCAGGATTACGGGAAACTTGGCTGACAAAATCAGCTGAAAGCTGATGGTCTCAAACTGGAGGAACTGTTTTATGGGTAACAGGTCCAGAGGATGAGGGTGAACCATCAACTGTCTCCATATCAATAGGGGCCAATGTATTTCTTGCAGGAATATTATTACTGTGGACAAATTCTATATCCATAAAGTTCCCCTCTCCAGCCCTGGAGTTCAGCATAGCTGAGTGGGGGATTTCACGGTGGTCCGAGATAAGTTTTAATAGGGATGACAAAATGAGAGTGTAGAGAGTTCACTTTATTTTCTTCAGGAATCCGTGGGGAGATAGACTGGCTCATTTAGTTTTTGTTCAGGCAAAATCACATCAGTCACAGCAATTGCTGTTCTAACTTTTATTATGTCAATTAACTGCATAATGACCAGAGTCCCCACAATATAGACATAAGTTCTCTGAATGTCTTCTCTCTCTCTCCTGAATGGAAATGGATCTCTTGATATAGCATCAACCTGCATAGGCTCGGGAGTGTTAGTACCTGGAGAAACTTTTGAATCCTGCTGAACAAATGGACTAGCAGAGAGATGCATGCCACCATTATTTCTAAACATTCCCAGCCTCTCCTTCCTCCTTTCTGTAAGTCTTTGATCAATTTGGATACATAATTGGATGAAGCCTCAAGATCATTAGGAGTATCTGTGACGATCGCGGCGTCAGACTCTAGCCCTTCTCACCAAACTTGTGACCGAAGGACTAGCCAATCTAAAACTGCGCTGTCACGTGCGTAACAATGCCACGCCCAGCTGCACCCTGCGCAAAGATTTTCCAACTAATGGACCACAATCTGTGTACTTGCAGCTTGGGAGCGACTGTTACTGGGTCAGGTTAATTACGCAATTAACCCTTCACACTGCCACCACCTCCTTTTTGTACAGAGAAAGAGGAAACTCGGCAATATCAGCAATAACAATATGAGGTTTGCATAAGCGTCAGTATACCACTGTCACCGCAGGCAGAGATATACCGAAGTTTAAAACACACACACAGTAGCGTTCTTCAGAGGCAGGGGTTCTTAGTTTGCATTAAAGAGCTTTAGAAACAGTTCAACGCTTTCAGAAAGTAAGATTTATTACTAGGTCAAACGGGTGCAATAAAAATATTTACAGAAAAAGATGTAGCCTATATATATATATTATAATATACAGAGAGCAATAACACAGAAAAGAGATAACAGGAATTTAGATAAAGTACTTGCCAAAAGCCTTTTTTTAAGCAGCTTTCAAGTTTCCTGAGCCAAAAGGGTGCTTTTATTTCTCAAACTTGGTTCCAATGTTAAAAGGGAGAATCTTCAACTTAGCTCAACTCAGCCTAGCTTTGCTTTCTGCTCTAAGCATAACAGCTTTTCTAGCAACTCAGCAGGGTGTCTCCTTGAAGCAGAGAACCAATCGCCTCATTTGGGAAGGGAGTTGTAGGCGAGAAGCTCAGGCTCTGACCAAAGCCCTCGCAAATTATACTATGGTTAATAACTTAATCTCGGTGCATTTAGCAGCCTTGCCACAAGTAGATTAATACACAGAATCATCTGCTGAACGTCTAGGTATGAAATATGACATACCTGCTGGGATGGTTAATGAGATATCATTTTCTGCTCTCCTGTTGATGCCAGCTAGGAGATGTAATATATCAGACGACTTGTATTAACGAGACCGATCTGAATATATGCCCGGTTTTTATGTACGTCTTTCATAGTCCAAGATATGTAATCATAGGGGAAAAGGGGATGTTTAAATGTAAGTCCGTTTTACTACTACCTGGAATGTCTTTGAGCTCAGTGAAGGACTTGGTTTATGGTTTTACAATCCTCCTCCAAGCAGAGTCTCGCAGACATCTGGGGGCCAGGCTAATTGGGGTTTATAGCCATGAGCTCTTCCGCTGGGCCTTGATGCCTTTGATTTCTGCATCAAATAGACCACATGTCACTCAACAGAGAGGGAGGGGGGATATGAGGGAAGCTGATTTGGGAGTAGAAAATGATAGAAGATGGAGGCCTTTGCCAAAATGGAGGTGCAAATCCATCTCTGTGTGCACGATTGCTACAGTATCTACTCTCGCAAGCTCATCCTTTACCTGTTCAGAAAGCCCTTGGCGGAACTGGCTTTTTTGTGCTTTCAGGATTCCAAGTGGTATGTGCTATTCAACATCTGAATTCAGCTGTGTATTCAACAACCGAGCGTTTACCCTGCCACAGACTATGCAACTTATCTTCGGCAGTAGCCCAGTGGTTGGGATCATCAAAAACCTGATTCAGTTCAATCAAAACAGTCTCAAAATTATTCAGAGTGGTACTGTCTTTTTCTATATAAGGGGAGGCCCAAGCTAGAGCTTCCCCAGTCAGAAGTCCAATAATAAACATTACCTTCTTTTTCTCTGAAGGAAATAGAGCAGAGTGCATTTGGAAATATATACAACACTGATTAAGGAAACCCCTGTAATGGCGGCAGTCTCCATTAAACTTAGATGGTATAGGCTGGGGCATACGGGAAACAAAAAAACACAGCGCCTCTATGTGTGTACTGTGAAGGTATTTAACAGAAAGATAGTAACTCACTCACATGTTAAAATTTAAAAACAGGCGCATAGGTATGCTGCATATGCACAACACCATCTGCTGGCAGACACCTTAGAGATTCCACCAGGCTTACCATCCATGTTGCACATGCACAGCACCACCTGCGGACGGACTCAATCGATCTCCTCTCTGGATCAGTCACACAACAGCATCTGGCTACAGACGTCTCACCCTCTTACCCATGAGCCTGTTTTTAAATTCTAACGTGAGTTACTACTTATTTTTCTATTAAATACCTTCACAGTACACACTTAGAGGCGCTGTTTTTTTTGTTTCCCTTCTGCAGAGTTATGCTTCGCTCCTACGCAGCTTGCCCTTAGTGCCTACTGGACTACCTTCACCCCTGCCCATTTGGAACTCATCAAATATACATAGACTGCCACACCATGCGCCTGTTATCCCTTTTGTATAGGCTGGGGCATATGTGCCTTAGTATCATCTCAGTCCAGCAGTTGTCTCTGCAGAGTATGAATCTCTCCCCTGTTGCCTATCCACTATACTTTCTAGTTTGGCAACTTTTTCTTGATAAGCAACCCAAATTCCTGCAGCTCAGCAATTTGCTCCTTAAGAAGAGACACAACGTTTATTATAGCGGCCTCCATGTTTGGGCCAGAATATTCTGTCACAGTCAGGAGTCAGGCTCGAAGACCAGTTGCTATAGCAATGGAAAGGCTGAAACCAGCAGGATGGAGGAGTGGGCTCACCTGTGGTGCGGAGTCTAAGTACTAACTGGTGTTCCCCAGAGCTCCTGATGGTGGAGATGGATATTGCTGCATGTTAGCACCAGGTTGCGGTCCTCAGGATCACTCCACCAGGGGGTGAGCAAGCGGAGGTCCTCTAGCGTATTTAGCAGGTAAGGATCAAACAGAAGCGTAGTCAGTAAACAAGCCAAGCTCAGTAATGAGCAGTCACTGGTTGGGATCAGGCAGAAGCGGAGTCAAGGAACAAGCCAAGGGTCAATAACGAGTGATAGCAAATATGGATGATAGCAGAGAAGGCAAGGAGTGAGATACTGGCTGAAGAGCACAATAATCTGGCAAATAGGAAGAGCAGAGACATGGCTTAAATCAGGAAGTTCATGGGAGGAGCAAAGGGTTCAAGGTTCATGAGAAACAAGGTCAAGTCAGGATCATTCAAATAATTTTTAAGGGAGCTGTCCAGCATTCCAGGTGGCTCAGCAAGAAGAAACATTGCCACACACTGCAGAAATTCCAGGTTTGGACCCAGACTCTGACAGTTAGAGCTCTGTAACCTGCCCTTGGCAGCACTCTCTGGGGAGCGATTGTCAGAAGAAGCCAATCACAAGGCAATAAATAGTAGACCAGTTCTGACACCTGAAGTATTGAGTTTAAATGTGTTTTGCTTTCAGTCAGTCAAAAAATTAATTAGTACTGGCTCTAAGCAAGACCAAATACTTTCACTGCTTGAGTTGGTTATTACATTTTTTGCTTGTTTAAATGAAATGTTTAGGCTTGAATATAAGTTAAACCCTAAGCAATGTATGGTTTTTAAAAGCAGAAACCCCAGAAAATAGAAGTGGTAGTTCCGTGGTTGTTTTTTTTTTTTTTTTTTTTTGTTTTGTTTTTTCTTTCTTTCTTTTTTTGGCACAACAGTTTTAACTTCTTCCCCACCACCCTATAATAGAAATACTGTTACAGGGCGGCATGGGTGTGCAAAATCACATGTGTGTGTGTGTGTGTATATATACGTGATTTTGCAATTCCGGGTAGGGGGCACACGTGCGAGCCCTACCCGCGCCGCCATTCGCAGCTGTCAATCACCGTGTCCTGGCCGGTGATTACCGAGGATCTTCGACGGGGAGGAGGACTGTTTTGTTTACTAACAGTTCTCCTCCCTGTCAGCTCGGGAACACTGCTCTGGGTGGCTGTGCACAGCCATCCAGAGCAGTGTGCTTACAGTGAAACACCAACACACCGCTCCCTTGTAAAACTCCCTGCACACAGTTAACCCTTTGATCGGCCCTCATGTTAACCCCTTCCTGCCCAGTGCCATTAGCACAGTCAGTGATTTTTTTTTTTTTTTTTCCCTAACACTAATCACTAACCATGTCAGAATGTCCATCGCTGTCCTGTGATAAGTCTTTGCCACTATTACTAGTAGAAATAAAAAATTCCAGTATCTATACTGCCACTTATAAACTCCATAACTTTCATGTAAACCAATTCATTTACATGTATTGGGCTTTTTTTTCAGCAAAGACATGTAGCATAATACATTTTGACCTAAATTTAACAAAATTAGATTTTTTGTTAATTTTTTTTTTTTACTGGACATGTTTAAACACTTGTCTACCGGGCACTTTCACCCCCTTCCTGCCCAGGCCAATTTTCAGCTTTCAGCGCTGTCGCACTTTGAATGACAATTGCACGGTCATGCAACACTGTTTTATAATTTTTTTGAGATGGAGCTTTCTTTTGGTGGTATTTAATCACCTTTGGGTTTTTTATCTTTTGCTAAACAAACCAAAAACAACTGAAAATTTTTTGGGGAAAAAACTTCACTTTTGTGCGCTAATGAGTCTGCAGGGATGGGCACTGATGAGGAAGCACTGGTAGGTGGCACTGGTGGGCATTGACAGGCATCACTGATGGGCACTGAAAGGCAGTACTCATGTATGGCACTGGCAGGTGGCACTGATTGGCGGCACTGACTGGCACTGATAGGTGGCACTGAAAGGCAGCTGAGTTAGGCACTACTATGTGGCATTGATGGGCACTGACAGGTGGCATTGATGGGACTACACTGATCATCAGGGCACTGATCATCAGTGCCCTGATGATCAGTATAGATGTCCCCTCTGAGGAATGCCGATTACCGGCTCTCCTCACAAGCTGTCAACACGACAGCTTGTGAGGAGAGGAATGCCGATAACCGGCATTTCCTTATTTACATGCGATCAGCTGTGATTGAACACAGTTGATCACATGACCGAGCCGAAGTTATCGGCTCTTTTCGCTGATCGGTGATCCACTGTGTCCCAGGGAGGACCTCATATGACATCCTCCGAGAACAAGAGAACCACCGCCCGTCCGTCATTTTTCTTATATGGTGGGCAGGAGGCGGTTAATGGAAAAAGGTCAAAAAAAAAAAATTTTTTTTCCTGAAAATTGTTGGTCTTTTTTTTTTTTTTTTTTTTTTTTTTTTTTTTTTTTATGGCGCAAAAAATAAAACCACACAGGAGATCAAATACTACCGAAAGAAATGCTGATGGACCACAGATCACACTCCATTAGCTTCCTCCCCTGCCACAGCAGCCAGGGAAAGTCACAGCAGAAACTGGAAGTGACAAAATCGTCATTGCTTTCAGATTCTTACCAACTAAATGAGATCAACAAACAGACATGCGCTTATCTTAGTCTCTACCCAGCAATACTTACCATTTGGGTTTTGGGCCCTCAGGTAGGATAGCAGTGCCCAATAAACATAGATTGGGAGCCAGAATATAGAAGCAGTTAGGTGGCTGTAAAGCCCAACTTTCACTTGAAAGCTGTATCAGGGTTAAGAATGGAAAAATATATATTATTATTTTTAGTAATTGCTGATAAGACCAGAAGGTGAACACTTGTAAAGTGTTTGGGGTTTTTTTTTTTTTTTTGCTTTGTTAGAGTAGAAGTTAAGGCAAAACTTTTTTTTTTTTTGTTTTAAATTTGCCTTTTTTTTTGCCATCTTTTGTCACATTCGAGAAATTTCCCTTCACTTCCTGTCCCATAGCCAAAACAGGAAGAAGAAAGCTCACCAAAGTGAGGAGATCCCTGGTTGTCACCAGCACTATTGTCCCTACTGAAAGATTTCTCTCTTTTGGTTCTGGTGACAACCCAAAATTTGGGATTTTCTTTTACTTTCACTCTCGATAACAGTAAAAAGAACAAATGGAGAGGGAGAATCTCCCTAACAGAGGCACACTCGGCAATAAAGACCTAACAGATGCTCTAATCCCTCTCCACTTTATCCAAAAGTAAACAAAGCTTCACCTTTTAATTGTACTTTAAGTGTAAATTAATCAGATCTGTAAAATAAGAGATTTATATTTTTTCTGTTGTACAGGTTACTGATATCCATGTTAGTAAATTCCTGGAAATGGAAAGGGTGTCGGACTTTGAATCTTTTTGTACAAAAAGCCTTGCAAACATCCAGCCTGCCCTTGTTCTAGTAACAGGTGAGAGAACACTTTATTGGCACTCCTGCTTATTTTTCTGGCTTTGTGTATTAAGGAGGTCTATATCATTTCATTTTTATTTTTTTTAAATCTAAACTCCATGTCCATTGTCCCCTCCCTCTATTGAAGCACACCCTCTCTTACCATTGAAATCTGTATACATATCTAGTTTTGGCTGTCTTCTGGCTGGTCACTTGATGCACGTATCCTTTTCAGGTATCCTCTGGTGGACAGCCTTTAGTGATTCAAAGAATGGCACTCACATGAGCACCATTCTCTGCATCATCTCCCGTGAGCCCAGACTGGCTGGATGATGTGTCCCGAGAGGGCATTTCATTGACATTCTGGGATCACAGGAGGTGGAATGAATAATGCTGGGTGTCATTCAGCACAGAAGACAAACAATGCTGGACCACAATGCGGGGCACATCACCAGACAGGAGGTGACTATTGCAGCTGAAACTGCTTTTTAGTTCCTAACTTGGCTAGCAATGGGATTTGTGATTTCCCTAATCATCTTCCAGGACAGCTACTTGAGAGAGAGGCTCCTCCCACCTAGACAGGAAACACATGATCCACAATTGTTAAAAAGGATGCACCAGTGATGGTCCCTCAGTTTGTGTGTTTCCTCAGGCCAGACAGGGCA